TATATTTTTCTGCAACTGTACCAGATCAATATATTATATGGAAATGTACCACAACAATGCAAGATGAGATGCAACTTGTATCTGCACTGAGAATGAAAAAATTTAAAACTACCACCAATTATATCAATGAATAGCCAAATACCCTTATCACATATTCACCCTATGATCCCACTGAAATAAATGAGTTGGGCGCCATTGTAACCTTGCAAATTTCAGGGGGTAATAAGTGATAAAATTTAGTTATGATTCTACCCCTGAGTTGGCTGTTAACCTGCCTGAGATTTACTTGGTGTTTTAATTCTCAAAAGTTTTGCTACAAAATAAGTGTTTTAAGTGCCTAGTTTGAGACTGTAGAAACCAAACACTGGTAGTTCAGCGGGACAATGGGGTGGGTACGTTAAATGCCAGAAGTAGGGTGAATATATAGATTTAATAATAAGAAAACTTGAAAAATACAATTCCACTAGAATTTTGCCTTGATCTCAATGAAAACCATCAATTAGCAATATTTTATATCACAACTAGAGACTGTCTGAAATCAACTCTTCAGTACATCCCTTATAATCAATTTATAACAAAAATGGGAATAACAGATATATATAGACAAGGTGATAAAGCAATACCGCAGTGCACGTTGGTTTCCAATATATGAATGACTTGATAATACTAATAAATGGTACAATTTGGGGTATTTTACTTATAACTCAGCATAAACGGTAATTTTCAACCCTTCTAAGTGGTAGCGGTATTTGGTGGTAGTTTTCCACTTCCAAACGGGTACTAATATGGAACAGACTCACCAAAATTGAAGGTGACAGGCGATTATGTTCCTCGGTGGTGTCTAGCTGTCGAGTACAGGGTGTAGGCGGCCACGTCGTTCATATACAGGGTGTTGAGCGTACAGGACAGAGAGTGACGCTACAGGGTGCATACCGGATCCATACAGGGTCCAAACAGGGTGGACTCGAAGAGCTGTTTACTCCTCAGCAACTATACAGGGGATTCTTAGGGTTGCTTGTTCATCAGCAGGCTCTTCTTTGGGGCTTGCAAAAAAAAAAAAGGGCCAAACCGGTGGATGACGCAGATCGGAAGCCAGGAGATAATTCCAGGAGAATAAGAACCCTAAACGATAAAAAAAAGAAAATGGTTGTGTGCCACTCGAAAAATAATCAAGACTAAATTCCATACCTGATGTGATGGTGGTCGGGTTCTTGATCGGCTGATGTCAGCCTCGTGGCTTTCGGCCTTAAATCCCTCCAATTTGAGGTATGGTACCAAAACCAAAATTGGTCACCACGAAATGAGAATTCGAATCGAATTAATCCCAACACTAATGGAGAAAAAAATAAATCAAAATATGTACAATGCGAAATCGAATCTCTGGCTTACTTGTCACACGAGTTGGATCAACCTTCTCCAGGAAAAATGGCGAGATATCTCCTGAAGATGATGGGCCGTCCTTCAACCGGAAGATCGGTCTTTATCTCAAAAACGCCCCATACCTCAGGAAAGTGTTGGTGGGAGATTTTCCCGCGAACACACTGTAGATGGTATTTCACCACCACAGAAAGATGAGAGAATATCCTAGCTCCAACAAGAAAATACCTAATTTACCCGATATTAGTGAATGTTAACCATTTTCCATTTAGTTTTCGTGGAAATTGATTTTTCGGCGGTTAAAGCCGTTTTGCCACGACCACAATATTCAAACGGAGACATGCGCAGACATGACCTCGGAACTACGTCGACCCATGACGCAATCTTCTTCTTTTTCGATGGATGCTCGACTTCATCGAACGAGACATAAACACTAGGGTTATCACACCTACTATCCGATTTAACAACAAATCACTATTTTGACAAAAATCCCGACATCATGCTGAGCTTAGTCCTTCCATAATCAATCAATTTTGAGGGCCATTCAAATATCGATGAAAAATGAACTGCTGTCAATGACAGATGTTAGCAACTGCTAAAAGTACGGAGAATCATAAAAATAATGACATTGTCTTTCAAAATAAAGCAGAGCAGCTCGCAAATATCGGTCAACAATCTGACAGTGATAAAGATTCTGACAGTGATACCTCGCTCAATATTATTGACTGAAAATGTAAACAACGAGCACAATATGATAAATCGACTGATAACTAAAATAGTGAAATGATCCTCGCTAAACTGTTGAATATCCGTGCGCTCGAACATATCGAAGAAGACTGGCTATCATCCCACAAAAACAACAGCGTGAATAAATATTCGAAACCAGAATCGTGAACTACGGTAAGCAACGACAACAAACCTTGTCTTGGGACCCGATAAACTATTTCGTTTTCAGGAGCTAAATAAAATAATAAATCACGGCAATAGACTGTACTTATAAAACTATTTGAGATTGCAAAAAGATAATATCAATGACAAATGATGAATAATACACCCATGAACAAATGAAGAATTGAGACAAAAGTACGTAAACAAAACAATTTCGATGTGCTATCAGTGCAGTACTTTCGTTCGGCAAAAACGAAGTGTAACAAGCAGGTCTATAATCTCTCAAATCATCAGAAAGTATTCAACGAATTCCAACCGTTATCTGATAACAAAATTATATATGTTCCATGCACTATTCACCGAACTAATAAAAGTATTTCTGTGGCATATTATTTTTCGTGATGAAAAAAATTCTCACCAAACTGAAAAAAAAAGAAAATATTTCTGATCATCCATATTTGGCCAACTGGAGTAGAGTGTTCGCAGAAGAATTCAACCCATTAGTAGAAGTAGTTTCCCCTTTTAACCATGGCGACGCTGTACACGGTGATTGCTATATTTTACTCAATAGCTATCTCAGTTAATATGGGTCTTACAGAAAAGTTCAGATCGGCAAAAGTGAAATATTTTTCATTGGCATTCTTAATCTATTACAAGAAAATGCAAAACAAGCATCGTGAACCTAGAATTGTTTCAAATGATGGTATTTTTTAGTTTTAACACCCTGCATTTCATTTTCCCAATCGATAGAACTATTCCTTCTGATTTCGAATATGAACATATACTTTATTGAGGTTATCTTTCGCCAGTTTTTGAAATATTTAGATTTTTTGCAAAGAGCTCTATCGATGAGGAAAATAAAAAACAGGGTGTTCCATTTACAAAATACCATCTCATGTAAAATTTGTATGTTAACGATGCTTGCATTTGTTAGTAATAGATTCTGAATGCCCATAAAAAATTCTTCATTTCTGCCCATTCGAACGTTTCTGGTAAGACCAATATCAACTAAGATGGCTATTGAGTAAATTATAAACAATCATCCTGTACATGCGCATAGATAGATTAATAAGCTTTATCGCCTAAAATGAACACAGTTTGTCGACAAAGTCAATATCTTGCGATACATTGATTGCAAGATATAAAAATAAATGAAATAGAATGAAAGAGGAATATATAAAAATAAAATAGAACAGAAATATATATAAAATAACATAGAACAAGTATCTTCATTATTAGAAAGAACATGTCTCTTCAAAGTCAATAATATGAATCTCTAATAATTCTCACATATCATAGAAGGACTTGAATTTGTAGGCTTAGTATTCGTCTGAACTATACAAGCATTTTTCCGCTAACATATCTTTGACAGATTTCCGGAAGTGTTTCAAATCATTCTTGTCTATGTTTGTGTTCATGAAATTTCCTCCATATTTGTGAAGAAAACAGACTGTTTCAAAACAAAAATTTCAAAGACCGTCAATATCTTATTATTGCGAAAAATTGGCCTGCATGAGTCACGCGTCTTGAGTTTGAATACAAATCTCAGAGTTCGTTTTGGAAGGACGAAAACACTAATAATAGACCATGGCAGCTACATCCCTAGAATGAAATTTTACACCTCAGATGCGATTCATTAAGTATGCCGATATTGAGGCTTGTAATCCGAGTTCATGGGATATCATATATTGATTGCGAAGCAACCGGAGGATATTTTTTTTTGCTATCTACAGAGTGACCCATTTGAAAGCGGGCCACCCCTGTATCTCACGTAATCGTTTGGTAAGGATCATGAAATTTGCTGGAGCGAGAGATATACCAAAAATGCACTCTATGACCAAGTGGGGTCATCTTCAGTGATATACACTGCTCGCCAACAGCCATTGAACCACCCCAATTTCCGGAAAATGATATTAGGAGTCAAAATAGGTTGAAAATCACTTCGGATTTGGAATCAGGACGCCCAATTCACCAAATCTTCATTTTTTTTTTTTGAAAATTTTCAGTTCTGAAAAATTAAATTTTGTCGCACTTTTCACGGAAGCACCCCCGTATCTCACGTAATTGACTTTATCTTTGGACTTTCCGTTCCTCCTGCAAATTTTAGAACCCTACCTCAATAATTACGTGAGATACGGGGATGCTTCCATGAAAAGTGCGACAAAATTTAATTTTTCAGAACTGAAAATTTTCAAGAAAAAATATGAATAGTTAGTGAATTGGTCGTCCTGATTCCGAATCCGAAGTGATTTTCAACCTATTTTGACTCCTAATATCATTTTCAGGAAATTGGGGTGGTTCCATGGCTGTTGGCGAGCAGTGTATATCATTGAAGATGACCCCACTTGGTTATAGAGTGCATTTTTGGTATATATCTCGCTCCAGCAAATTTCATGATCCTTACCCAACGATTACGTGAGATACAGGGGTGGCCCGCTTTCAAATGGGTCACTCTGTTATGTGAACACCAAGAAATTTTGTGACAGACTTGCTCTCAATGGGTTGATCTCCTAGCGTAATTTGTTCAACCTCAGACTTGAATGTCACTAAATTTGTTTTAGAAACATCTAGAGTTAGCATATTAGCTTTTAATTTTTCAACGTCCTCTGAAATAGACTGAGCCAAACTAGCTCGATCTTCGTTATGCCAGAAAGAGAATCGTGGTATCATCTGCAAACAAAGTTAGGTGCCCAGAAATATCAAGACTAACCATATCGTTGATATGACATTTCCAGGTGGTGCCGGCCTCCAAACCTGCCGCCCCCACCAACTGCACCCTGCGAACCACCGCCAACACCACCTCCGATGCGGTGGAGGTGGAATGCCACGCGGGGTACGACGGCGGACTGCCGCAGCGCTTCGTCCTTGAAGCGTACGACGCGCGCACCTCTCGCCTGAGGATGAACCTGTCGACGGCCGAAACGGAGTGGCCGGCGTGGCGGCTGGATTTGGGCGAGCTGCAGCCTGCGCCGAGTAGCTTGCGCGTGGTTGTGTACGCGGAGAACGGCAAGGGGGCCAGTGAGCGCGTGGTTTTAGATGATGTGTTGCTGCATGATGCTGAAAAGAGGACGGGTAAGGGCTTTCTGTCATTTTTGCATGATTAAAATCAGCAGACTAGTGGTTATTATGATGTGGAATAATATAGATTGAGAATTATTGATTTGATATTCGATGTTTCAAATGTATTTTTCTATGACTGAGTGATGAACTGGTTGAGTTCATCAGCAGTGAATATCTTCGCTTTCTTTGACATATATCCATCAGATTTCCTTTTTAGAAATGCTCGTAATTTCAAATATTTGTCAATATTCACATAATTTTTTATTGAAATTGTGCTTCTTAGTATATGCATGGAATACTGTGACCACAAGGAGGATGCTTTGTGTTTAACTGCTAATTCGCCAAATTAGGCTAGCAGTACATTATCCGAAAACGAATTTGCAAGTTTTGCTTTTCGCCAAACCACTTCATACCTTTTTTTAGATTCCTCGGGCAAAAGGCTGATTGTACTTGAATTGGCAGCTTTCAAAACTTCTGATGGTGGAGAGCAGTTGAATTCATTTTCGCTTTCTGAATCCATATTCGCGAAAATCACAAAGTGTGCGGCCTCTGGTGGCTAACTTTACAAGTCTCGCGAGTATGAACAACAAATATGGCGACCATTGTTTTGAGTTTCTGTGTTTTATTTGAAAATAATTTATTTGTTGAAGTGCATATTCCAGAACCTCATTTTTCCCTGATGAAAAAACTCGAATTATTGCATGAACTTTTATTGTTTACAATGAAGAAGCCAGTACCTACCTTATAATAATATGATATACATTTCCTGAAGCACAGTTAAAATCCTTGTATAAATGTTGGTTGCAATGATTCGATCTTGAGAATTACTCCAAGTCTTCAATTGCTGGAGATCCTTGTTTATGTAAATCGATGATATTGTTCATTCTGAGCACTCTGAGCAGACTTTCCAACCATATCTTCTTTTCCCAGCCCCTTCACTAGAATTCCATCTCCTTCATAAAAGCCAGTGATATTTCTTGATGAATCCAATTATTTCTTCATATCTATACCATATTGTTGTAATAGCTGATTGCTTATATGGCTCCATTCCAGTCCATGCAAGTATTGAGTGGACCATTCCGACCATTCCATATGTTTGAAAACTGTGGATTTGTAGTGTGATATCAATGATGAATACCACCATTGTCCACATCAAAATGGCAATTTCTCTGCACAAAAAGTGATTTTTTCCATACTGGAAACCTTGTACGTATTTCACGAAGTCAACTCATTATTCACTATTTTGCGAAATGATTTCGAAATAACCAATTTGCAATGAGTGCATACGGCAATGTTTTTGTTGTTCATACTCAGTTTGAAATTTGACGTTGATTTGACGTTAAATAGAGCCATCTATTGGTTCGTGATTTTCGCGAATTTGCACAAAAAGTCAGTTCTAAATCACGCCAGATAGCTATTGTCAAATTATGACATTTCATGACGAGTCTGATTCAAACGTTTCACTGCATGCCCCATATTATCAATACAACTGATGTCAACTGTTTTGTAGGTAATGAATCTGCTTTGTTGCTGATTGGCCATAGCCTGTTGTGTAAAGGCTCTTACACACGGAGCGTGGCTTGTTTCGTGTAATGCATCCAGTTACCCAACAAAAATGTTACATTAAAAGGGTCTAGTTTTCAACAGTCATAGAAAAAGTATAGTATTCTACTTGCGTGTAATGGCTATTACTCATTCGAATGATTACGACGTTCGCCGGCGGCTCACGTCGCAAACTTCATTCTCATGAGTAATGGCCATCATTACACGCTCGTCGAATAATATACTATTATTTCATTACTCATTCATTATAAGCATAATCAATCTCTGGTAGAAGTCCATATTGCTCAAAGTAGATTAAAATTATATGGGGAAGTATCAATATTTCACGTTTGAGTCCACTAATGAAATTACAAAATAAAACATTGAAGTGTATTTTCAATTTAAATTTTCTCGAACCAACCATGAATTTATACAAACCTAGAGATTTATTAGATCTGACATCGCTATATAAACTTAAAATTTGTTGTTTTATTCAATTTGTCCTATACAGGGTGTTATTTAAGTACGTGGCCAAACTTGAAGGAGTGATTCTTCGAGTGATTCTTAGACGAAAAGTTCATATAAACATAGGTCCGGTAATGCTTCGTTTTCAAGATACAGGGTGTCAAAATTTTTAAAAGAAATCGTTTTTTTCGTAAATATCTTAATAACCCTTCGACCGATTTCATTGAAATTTGGCAGTGTTATTCAAGGTCGTAAAGGGCTAATTTAACCCTAACTATATCAAAATTATCATGTCCAGTGGCGTCCCGGAAGGCACTGTAACCAATATTTTTGACACAAAAAATGTGCGCCACTGATTTTTTTGCAATTTTTGTATTTGTTCCACATTGAGCAACTAAAATTACAACTTTCTTATATCTAGAATTGTTTTCGTATCTTGCTTTGTTTTTGAGAAAAAACATAAAAATCACTTAATTGCACATCCCTGTGACAACACAATAAAACATTTCAACTACTAAACCATCAAAAACTGGGGTCTTACTAATATTTTTGATATAGTTAGGGTTAAATTAGCCCTTTCCGACCTTGAATAACACTGCCAAATTTCAATAAAATCGGTTGAAGGGTTCTTAAGATATTTACGAAAGAAACGATTTCTTTCAAAAATTTTGACACCCTGTATCTTGAAAACGAAGCAATACCGGACCTATGTTTATATGAACTTTTCGTCTTAGAATCACCCAAAGAATCACCCCTTCAAGTTTGGCCACGTACTTAAATAACACCCTGTATAAATTGAAAATTTCGAATTTAAATTTCAATGAAATCAATTCATTACATAATCATGGAACAAGACAATCAAATTTACTAATAGCAAATACGTTCAAGTCAAATATCGGCAAACAATCAATTTTTCACACAGGAATCGTTCTATACAACTCATTACCAAGTCATTTGAGGAATATACAGGAAGCAACTAGATTCAAAATTAACTTAAAAAAATATCTGCTTCAGAGACTTTGATAATTCCATTTCTTATTTGAATACCTACTTATAAAAGACTAGGTTGATATTGCATGATTATTTGCATTTTTTTTTTTTTTTTTTTAACTTGTTATATCTTATTATAATTTCATAATTGTATGTATAACATTATGTATAATGTTTATGTATCCCTATTATAAACAACTATGTTTCTTGGGGTAATAAAGACAATCAATCAATTTTTGAAAGGAAGGAATGCTCGAAGTCATCTCATCATCAATTTTTGGAGATGACTTCGAGCATTCCTTCCTTCCATTGGGATAATATGTGTAATTGTAATTCTTCAAATGTTGGAAACCTTTAAATTTCAACATCTTCCTCTGAGTATTTACTCTTGATTGACAATTTAGACTTTTCTCTGCAATTTTCCCGAGATTTATCTGAGGATTTCGATACTATTCCAACGTCTTAGCCAAAACTTCAACTTCTCTCCATAGATTCAACTTTTTCACTGGAAATGTTGGCTACTACCTTGAATTCTGATAAATTCTTTCATATTTCCAACGTCAAGAATCTCAAAATCTTGACTTCATTCCCCTTGTTTGCTCTTTTAACTGAGAATTCTGATTATTTTCGATCACAATCTGATGAATATGTCGGAATTTTTTCAACGTTCACCAAACTTCTTTCCATAGATTCTTACTTGGTATCTGGGCTTCTATCTGGAAAATTATATTTCAGTCTAGAAATGTCGACTCCACTCTCGAAAATTCGACTACTTTCTTGAATTTCTAACAATAAACTAGAAATTCCGGCTCATTTCCCAAATTTCGTGTGAAAAATGACATTTTATTGATAACTTTCAAAGAAAAGAAAATGAAATCATCCTTCAGTTTCTTGCGGTTATCTGGTGGTGTACGAGCGAGCGGGTGGAAGACGTGTTGCTGCAAGAGGACTGATGAGGATGGTTTTTCGAGCTTTCTGTCATTTTCACTCGTTGAAAATGAAACATGTGGAATTCGTTGGTATGTACTTGGTTACGACGGTAGGCTGCCGCAGCGCTTCGTCCTTGAAGCGTACGACGCGCGCACCTCTCGCCTGAGGATGAACCTGTCGACGGCCGAAACGGAGTGGCCGAAACGGAGTGGCCGCCGTGGCGGTTGGATTTGGGCGAGCTGCAGCCTGCGCCGAGTAGCTTGCGCGTGGTGGTTTATGCGGCGAATGGAAAAGAGGCTAGTGAGAAGGTGGTGCTGGATGATGCTGAGAAGAGGACTGCTGAGGAATTTTCTGAGATTTTTCTGTAATTTTCGCAAGTTCAAAGTCATACAGATGGTAGATAATAATTTTGTTGTACAATAAATTCGAAATTATCGTTTCAATATTTGATGCTTACAATATACACTACACACTGTTTTACCACTAACCTATTTCACACCTCGCCACGTGTTTCGCTAACTATATCAGCATCTTCAGGAGAAAACTGTGTTTTAATCTTCTTTTTCTCTGAGAAAGTGGCATTTTTCCGGCCTAGTCCGGAGAGTACGTACTTTCGGACTAGGTCGGGAAGTATCACATCGTTGTTGTATTCTTATCTCAGTAGATATGGTTTTGATGAATGCAGATGATGATTACCATAGCAGCGAAATATCAGCTGACATCTATTTGACATGAAATTAGTTGATATTTCGATTTTTGAAAGTTTGGTGGCAATTATCGCAATAAACTATCGAAAGCAGCTGCGATAGTGAGTTTGAAAACGTCCATACAAAATTTCCAATGTAACAGTCAGTAGGTATAGGTATTCTGTTCAAATTTCAGTATTTGATACTGAATGAGAATTAATGATGAAGAAATGGGCTTATATCACAAGAAATTTTTATTTCATAATTCTATAGAACTCACCCAAACTAGCTCACCACCGCAAACCGTTTCATGCTGTGAGCTCCCTACGGTTTATGAGAAATTATTGAAATCCCCGATTTTTCGGACCTCTGAAAACGAGGCGATGATGTGACGTCGAAACCCTAATACTGAAACAAGACAATTTCCAGATAGAGATGAATGATACATGATTTCTGACGGAGTGAATTATCGCGATATCACAGTTGAAAGAATTAATATATCAGTTGCCTCAGTCTCCGTCGGGCGTTTGGTATTTTATTTTAACTATGGTGAGATGAGGTTCCTACGTCATGAGAGGGTCCGTTTTCGGAAGGTACTATTATTTATGTCCGAACATAAACCATTCCAGTTAATTTTTGGATCGAATTATGTCGTCAATCATTATTTATGTATAAAAGGATCATTATAAACATGGTTTGAGTTAAAAGTTCTCCTAAGGTGTACACGCCCATTGTCTTCTACAAGGATATTTAATTTGGAAATGTGTCTCATCGATTTGTAATTCTACATGGTTGCCGAAAAAATAGTGTACGCAAGACATCCAAAAACAGGTTTTTTGGACTCGCAGACTTCCAGGACTCGCCTACGGCTCGGTCTAGAATTTTGTCTACTCGTCCAAAAAAATTGTATTTTCCGAACTTGTTACGTCAATTACTATTTTATTGTTACAGATGGCAGCAACAACGTTGGTTTAGTTCCTTTAGCTGGCCTTCTGACTGGGTCCTTACTGACCCTGGGAATGGCTGTTCTAGTGATAGTGGTGGTGGCAGTGAGGAGGAAAAGAGAATGCGACGGACGATTGCATTGCCCTCATCACCTCGATATAGGTAACTAGAAAAACAAAAAAATAGTAACTGGAAACTCGGAAAACGAAACCTCAAACGATTCCATTGAATGGGCGAGTGGACTGATGTCGTTAGCAACCTGAATTAATTTTTACAATACTTCTCATGCTTTTCACTTCCAACTAGAAATAGACTGGACTTATTTGAGATGTAAGCTCTCATCTGAAGATTTTTTCATTCATCTCGAATTTTTCACTCACTTTATGATAAGAAAATCTGATCTGTTTTCTCATCGAGTAGGAATTTTGAGATGACGATTGACATTATTTGGCCAAAACTTTGAATAAATTTTGAGCACTTTTTTTCATAAAAGTACCTCTTCATAATTGAATTTGCCAAAGACTTTCAACAAAACTATGAATACTGGGAAGTAATCTCCTCAATTTTCTTGAAACCTCCAAATAATCATCACTATCTGATGATGATAATTGAATTGCCACTAACAATTTGATTTTCAAACGATTCATATTCAATGTTTCCGCCATTTGCAAAACTGCACTGACTTCGCACAACCTATTAGGGCTCGTGCGAGAATTGTTGCACTGAGCTCTAAGCTATGTGAACCAGTTTTCCAATGGAATTCAAAACCCGACACCAGTTTTACCAATGAAATGGAAAATATACACCCAGTACAACACTCATTTGCGCAATTCATACCACTGCAATGCCCAATATAATGCCTCCTGTCGAATCTTCGACAACTGTCATCATCGGCATTATATTGGGTGTTGCAGTGGTATTAATTTCGTAAATAAGTGTTGATTACAAGAAATCGACTTTTTCGATTGATTTTCGATCACGCGATGAAAAACCTTGTGATAAATAGGTTTCTTGACTTCATGTCAGCTCAGGAATTTCTTAAAACCATTGTAGCATCGTTATTGCATTAATTGGTCAGAAAAATCCAGAAGGACCTCCTTTGCGCCCCCTTGGATTGCCTTATCTGAAAAATCACGAAATCAATTCGAGATATTGAGCAGAGCAATCGATCCAAATGAAGGATTTGTGTTTAGCATAGCATATGGTTATGGCAGCATCAAACTGAACAGATGATTTCACCAAATTCAGAAGATTTCTCAAAAAAAAAACTTCTTCTGTTAAAGTTCTCGATGATTTCAACGCAATATGAATCCATTTTCTAGGATGTGTTCCATCGTATAGAGTGGCAAAATACGTTGAATGTGGCTTGCATAATTTTAAAATCAGTAATGATGTGATAAAAACCTAAAAATGAAAAATTATCGAATTTTAACATCCTGTATGAGGAATATGGAAAATTACATAACCGTTTCGAGATATTGACTTGAACGTCCGAAGAAAATGAATAATAGAAAAATAAAAAAAAAATCCTGAAATACGGGAGCGTTTGAATTCTCTCACTTGGTGTATAATGACAGAAAAATTCCTAACGAGTTTTGAACAAGGAATCTTGAACAGAAAGATCGCATCCAAACACTGCATTTCGATTGAAGATCCATTCATTTTTCATGAAGTTATGACCGTTTGAAAATTGTCGAAAATTTCAGTGGCCCACTTATTTCTTTGAGCACTCTACATTCAATAACTTTGTTTTGAAGGATTTCGATTGGCCTCATAAGTTAAGATTTCGAGCGGAAGTTGAAATTTCGAAGTTAAATTAAAAATTTCGAGATAAAAAGTGAAATTCTGAGGTAATAGTCGTAATTTTCGAGATTATGGTCATGATTACGAGTTGAAAGTCAAATAACAAACAAACCTTTCATCCTCAGACGCCTCGAAGCAGAACTCCAAGCCCCGCCATCACGCCTCCACGCTAGAGATCAACACCGGCGACACGCGGTACGTGGTCGCGTACCAGCTCAAGCCAGCGGGCGATTGCTCCCCGCCCCCGCCTCCAGTGCCCGCCATGGGCGGGTCTCCGGGCGGGTCCCCGTCCCCAGACCGGCGGCGCGGGCGGCCCGACATTTTAGATGCGCCGCGAGGTGAGTCGAAGTGTCGGTGTCTGTGTCACTGTCGGCACGCGAAGGATAAGATGTCGATGTCGACGTTTCGACATTTCGACGATGTCTAATCGTCCGACTAGATCTTGTGAATAGAGAGGTCTATTAGTAGTAGGAGACTCGGCTGCAAATTTCCACCCACCGTCATCTGATAACGAAATATTGAAATGAAATATTCTCGGATATTATGAAAATGAAAAAAATTATATATACAGGGTGTCCGGAAAAGTCGTAAATGATAGGGCTGATAGGGTGAGCCAAAATCATTTTAGTACTTCATATTAAAAAAATGTCAATCGAACTTCGTTACGGAGTTATTGACATTGAAAGTTTCTTATAGTACATACATACACCTAGGGATGTAAAATTGCCGGTAATTCAAAAATCGGTAATATTACGTAATAAAACGGTAACATTGGTGATTTATAAAAAAACAGTTTTTTCATGTAATGCAAGTTCTTTTATGTCAAAACTGTAAAAACATTAGGAAAAACAACAAAAACGTTTTTTCAAACTTGTCAGAGTCAGAGTGGACTACGTAATAGAGTTGATAATGGTAAATCATCATCATCATCCCCAACCTCGTCATCTGATTTTTCTTTCTCTTTCGTTAATTGAGTCAAGTCTATAACTGTGGAAGTATTCCCAACAACATATAATCTCCAAAAATTCAAAAAAATTCCAATACCTACCTCCTGTCCCTATCCTCCCTAGGAACGCACGATGTTCTTTGAACATTATAGGGATTCCCTTTCGTGCGCTCCAATCGATTAAAAAAAAAAAAAAAAAAAAAAAAAAAAAAAAAAAAAAAAAAAAAAATTCGAAACCGATATTTTTTGCTTCTATTTCTTCCTCAGTAGCTTCTACTATTCTTGAACGATCTTCTTCATTTGGTAAATTATAATTATGGGCAATATAAGTTAGTTTTCCGGCCCTTTCCACGGTAAGTCTGTTTCTTCTTTGCCGATGAATAAATCCATAAGTACTAAAGGTTCTTTCAGTTGCGGTTGTTGATGATGGTAAATTTGAAATGTCTACAGCCAATCTACTTATTTCAGAACTGGAGTAAATTCCTGCCCACCAAACAGGCCCAGACATAAAATTTCTTAGCAAACATATTACTACCTCTAATTTTGTACTGTGCGAGTGCTTTCATAATAAGATCTACTTGTGAAGAATACTTTGGATGACGCTCTGCAGTTTCATAGATGAACTCCGTTGCAATTAAATTTTCAGCTTCAGTTAAATTCTCGCCGCGTTGATTTGGGTCTATTAGTTTAGCAGCAAGATGAACGGGTTTTGAACATTTATTTTCTCGTTTTTCAAGAATTAAACACATTTTCTGGTTTTCAACCATAGAAACAGATTGGCTGGAACAAGTCATAAGTTGCTTCTATCAGTAACCAAAATTCGTTTTGAAGAAGAAGTCTCACTGTATTTGATGAAAAAACATCAGAAATATCTGGGCTATCATCAACTGCTAAACTTTTCAATGAATTCAATGAATGTTAAGTGTCCAAAAAGCTTTTTAGACAAGAAACAAATTAACCCCATCTTGTTTTCACCGGCAATGGGCGTGTACACCTTAGTTGAACTTTTAACTGAAACCATGTTTATAATGATCCTTTTATACATAAATAATGATTGACGACATAATTCGATCAAAAAATTAACTGGAATGTTTTATTTTTGGACATTAATAATAGTACCTTCTGAAAACGGTCCCTCTCATGACGTAGAAACCTCATCTCGCCATAGTTGAAAGAATATACCAAAAGCCCGACGGAGACTGAGGCAACTGATATATTAATTCTTTCAACTGTGATCTCGACCTAATTCACTCTGTTAGAAATCATGTAACATTCATCTCTGTCTGGAATAGTCTTGTTTCAGTATTAGGGTTTTGACGTCACATCATCGCCTCGTTTTCAGAGGTCCAAAAAATCGAGGATTTCAATAATTTTTTATAAAACGTACGGAGCTCACAGCAAGAAACGGTTTGCGGTGGTGAGCTAGTTTGGGTGAGTTCTATCGAATTATGAAATAAAAATTTCTTGTGATACAAGCCCATTTCAAAGAGATGTATCGCCCCATTTTGTTCAACTGGATTTTTCCAAACCTTGCATGTTAAATCTGCGAATTCTCCAACTCAGATACAATTGAAATGATGCTTTTCTTGAAATTGGAAAAATGGTCAAATTTCAAGAAGTCTTCTACCAGAAGGTTTAGACCGTGGCAAATACAACCGTGATTAGTATTGTAACCGTATTTGCTGCTAACTATTTCACGAGCCTTTTTCATGTAAGCTCCGTTGTCATTGACAATAGCTAGAAAATTTGAAGGTCCCATTTCTTCCAACACTTCTTCAATTTCTGAGGCCAAAAATGTTGCTAAATGTCTGTTATCTTCGGTATGTATTAATTTATAAAATACCGGAAGAGGTGCATTAATAACAAAATTAGATATAGAATCATTTCTGCAATTTGACCATCCATGCATCTGTAAGCTTAAGATAGGTGCTTCACTAATTTTTGAAGAAACTGCAGTTTTTACTCTAGTGTACTCGGATTCGAGGAGTCGATTTGACAACTGGTAACGAAAGGGTGGTCTATCCAAAAACATCCTATAACGGTTGAATGAAACATTCCAACCACGAAATGTCATCTTATGAACGTGGAAATTCAACGTTTTCAACGAGTAACAGGTCACCTATTCATATCACTTTTTTTCTTTCGAAAAGGTCACCTTATAGATTTGAAATGAAACAAGACTATAGTTAGAAGATGGAATTCAAAAGATAACCATTTGAATCCTAAAAGATGTTTTTTCTGTCTTTTCTTTCTTTGTCATACTCGTTTACCACAATGAGTCATCTCACTCACTAATGAACACTTGTTCCAAGTCGTCTACGGATACCCGATATATAAGAACATATTGGCCTGCAGCAGCTCGTGAACCCTTCTTACAGGGTGATAATTTTTTTTCGAAAAAACTAAGTGGTAGAAGGTTCTTCTAGACATTTTAGGAATATATTTGTTCATATACCCTTCAAGTATAGGATTTGTTGAAGTACAGGAAGTTGAACTGCATATCAGGGCGTTATAGTGTTTTCACGATAAATCGGTAATGTATCGAAAATTCTTCCAATTTGGATGAAATTTTGTATTTTCAAATTACCTCACTATTCAATATAGTGGCAAAAGCTTGGATTAACACAGTGATATCGGTGATATATCCTTATCTTGGACACGATGTATATGTATTTATTTGATTCGTTTTATTTTATTTGCTGCTTCAAAATTCACAAGATTTCTAGCCAACAATTCATCAGAAGAAATGCAGGTTTTTCGTTTTCGTTTGTTAACTAATAATCCAAGGTAGTGACAAGAAGAACAAATACTCCAAATTGGGAGTATTTTTATCGTAGGCAAATTGAGATATTGTGTACTGAGTATCTCGCCCTTGTAATGCACCTCAATGCCCTGTAGTTTCAATGAAAAACTCTTCTTAGGGGTAAGTGAATATACTGAGTAGATATGTCTTCCATATTTCTCAACGATCCTCAATTCACTTCATTTTTCGAGAAAAAAAATCAATCACCCTAATACTAAAATGCCAATCATTCGACTATTGAATTGGAAGCAAATTATATTGATATGAGTATTATTTCATTTTCATAATATCACTATTTAATATCGAAATGCTAATCATCTCACCCTCATACTCATATAAGGGTTGTTTCACATTTATAGGATTTTTTTGAAATGTTGGACTTGATTACAGTGAAAAGGGAAACATGTTGTCGCCTATACATTCCAGAAATCTTTCGAGAGTTATACAGTTTCGTATAACAGCTAATATATATTTCTCTCGGTATGGCTCGTTTGGATATTCGCAAAATTAAGTGCAACTTACAGCACAGGAAAGTGCCACTTTCCATTTTGCTCATCAAGATAGTGATTGGCACAGGTGCCGTTCGATAAAATACAATGATTTTACATGCCTTTGGGACATACCTAATATAATTCCTTTATCAGATGGCGGTCGAGATTTGCAGCCGACTCTTGGACTTATAGGGTGGATAGAGTTGTCTCAATCGTCAGCAGGAGCGATACTGTTTCGGGCCGTCATGCCTCATCAGTCGCTCTCGGCTCGCGATTGGGACAGATCACAGAGCTCAAAGAATCAAAATTCCAATATGAGTCTGAGACTGAAAGTCATGGTTGGCTGAATTCTTGCACGGTAGGGCACGCTCATTTGGAAAGATAGTAGCCTTCTAGTTCTTTGAGTTCTGTGAGACGGTTCCATGCTTCGGGTGGATCATCCATAGTATTTACCGAAATCTCCAAGGGGCTTTAGTGGAAAAGCTAGATGTTAGACTTAGTGTTAGACTAATTATAGGACGCATGGGAATCTATGAAAGTGTAGAGAGGCCACTATGTTATATTATTATCCCCGAATTCAGACTTTTTTCCTGAATTCAGATTTTTTTCACAAAGAGAGAAACTCAAAGTCATTACCACAACTAGTTCATAAAATGAACGACAATGGTAGGTAACGAGAGGAAAACAACTACTTTCCTGGCTATATGCCACGCAGAACATTGCATTACATCCTCCCGAAACCTATGCGATAGTTCGTATAAACGAATAAAATCGCAAGTGTTTCCTTCCTAAACGCTGAGCTGCGCTTAAGTGGGTCAGGAACTAGTTGTGGTAATGACTTTGAGTTTCTCTCTTTGTGACCAATGCATTCCACTTTGAGTATTTGGCTCCCTCGTTGAAAACACGCCAGTCGGGCAACCAGCCACTCCCATTTCACCTGAAATGGGATTTTGTTTTGGAGTGTTTCTTTCCTTGCCAGGTGGCGTTCGGCGTTCGCGTTTTCATTTCGCAGACGTCGAACGCCTCGTATGGTATAAATGCTGAGATGCGTTTACGTTGGGTCAGGTTCGCACCAGATAGCGGTCAAGAAGCTATCTG